CTCTGATTTGGCTGGAGAGCAGATTCAGTTCCGCTGCCAGGGTTTTGGGGGGGGGTCTAGGGGTTTAGGGTTTGGGGGGGTTTAGGGTTTAGGGTCCAGGGTTTAGGGTTTAGGTTTTGTCCGGTTGAGGGCAGTTGTATGATTTGGGACGCAGGGCTCAGGGATTGGGGACTCGGGCGTTCGAGGCTTAGAAAGGTTCGGGCTTCAGGGGTTGCAGGGCATTCGGTTTAAGTTGGCGCAGTTTGTGCTTTGGGGTAGTTGTAGAGTGTCGTTTGCAGAATTGTAATGATCATCGTTTTTGGCTGGACAATTGGCAATGGTGATGTTGATGATGGCGTTGTTGGTTTTGATGCTGATTCTGGCGGTGGCGATGCCGGTGGCGTTGCCGATACTGTAGTGATATTGTTTCTGACAAACTACTGCGATTTTACGTTGGCTGCTGCTTCTGTGCCGGCAGATTCGACCATGAAGAAGAAGAAGGAGAAGCTGATGACGAAAAGGATCGCGATGGTGATGATGCCCAGGGTGATGATGCTGATGGTGCTTGTGGTGGTTGTGGTGCTACTGCGGATGGTTGTGGTGATGGTAGCGACGAGGATGATGGTACGGATGATGGTTTTCAATCAGTGTGACAATGTCAATGACAGTGGTAATGATGTTTGTGATGGTGGCGGCATTGATGGTGATGCCCCCGCCTGTGGCAACGACGACGACGACAGTACAACCTACGTACAACTTGCTGCTGATGACTTACTACTGACTACTTACTACTTGCAGTTTACTACCTACAGCTGCATGCTTACTGCTGGCGACTTGCTACGCATATGCTTCTTGCTGCTGACGACTGCTGACTATCTCGTACTCACTACTGACGACACGATACTGGCTTCTGCCTACTTGCTCGTGCTGCTGCTTCCTATTGCTATTGTTGCTCTTCCTGCTGCTACTGCTACTGCTGCTACTGGTAGTACTGCCACTACTGCTGCTGCTGCTGCTACTACTACTACTACTGCTGCTACGACTACTACTACTACTACTACTACTACTACTACTACTACTACTACTACTACTACGACGACAGCGCCAACGGCGACGACGACTGCTACTACTGCTGCTGCTCCTGCAGTTGTCTCTATTTCATTGTAGTGACCATGGCCACGGTGTGGCGGCAAGAAAGACAGTGCTTTTCTAGGATGCCCAGTCGTACCCTTATTCCCTTTTTGTAGTCCTAGGTTCCTTATAAAGTTACCCAATACCAAAAAGAGAGGCCTTTTTATTCTTAGGTTACCGGATATCCTTTTTGACTTGTACTAAATCGTCGGTGACGGCGAGGAAGACAACGACTGACGGCCACGGGTAGAGGTGTACCTTCGCCTGACTCTGTTCGCCGATGAAGTTGTTTGTCATTCCACACGGCTCCTAGTGCGCGAGTGCTGAAGCCCTAAATCCTAAAGGTCCTAATCCCGAATGACTACTAAAGGACCTTAGCCCAGATGACTACTTGCATGGGTCCTAAGCCTGGAGAGTACCAGATGCAGGATTATGTCATATTTCACATATTATAGTATGCTACATTCTCGTATATTATCGCTATTTTGTTATATGTTATGATCGGTGCCAGGTTCGAGATCCACCGATTCGCTGATGGGAAACTCCAGGCTCCTTGAAAGAAGCCGAGGTTTTGGCGTGCTTAGGGTTTAGAGTTCAGGATGTAGGGTTGAGGGTTGAAGGTTTAGGGTTTAGAGTTTAGGGTTTAGGGTTGAAGGTTGAGGGTTTAGAGTGTAGGGTTTGGGTTTGAGGGTTGGAAGGTTTAGGGTTGAGGGTTTAGGGCTTGCGGTTTCTTCGCCGTGTAGAGTGTAGACCTTTACAGGGCACCTGTGCCCGTGGGGCCTCATCGATGTCCAGTTTCATTGGAAAGTTAGCACCAGTCGACGTTCTAGAGGCATGTGTTGCAAGAAGTCTTTCCAGGCGCAACAACTATGGCTGTTCGGATCTGAAGCACCGACGAAGCCCCACTTAAATTGCATCAATGCTGAAAGAGCCGTAGCAGCGCTCATTTCCTTCGAGCTTGCAAAGCTTGCTAGGCTTTCGCGGCTTCAGAGTATTGATCCATGGCCGGAGTGCCATTGGAATTCGAAGCTTGACGCTTAAACCCTACTGTAAACACTAAAGCAAGTCTTGAATACGCCAAAACCGAAGAGGCCAAACCGGAAATGTCAACCCTAAACCCCTCAACCCTAAACTTCGTAAACCCTCAACCCTATACCACGAAACCCTCAACCCTGAAAGCCTAAACCCAAAATCGGATCCGTCCCGAAAGGCGCGGAATCTCCGAGCTCTGGGCGACGTCAGCGACTTCAAGGGGAGCAGCTACGGCGCAAATAGGCTCGGCCGGGGTTTCGGGTTTAGGGTTTAGGGTGGTGTTCGAGGTTTAAGGGTTACATGCCTGGCATGATTTAGGTTCAGGGGTGTAGCAGAACTCTCGGCTCAGGGCTCAGGGAAGTTTGCTGACAAGGGCAAGTTTTTGCACTTCCGGCGATGTAGGCTTTAGATCAACATCCATGGACAATAGGGCAAGGCCATACATCTATGCAACGTGCTAGGCAAGCATCAGTCAAGGATGAGATACTCTTTCATCTTAGTGTTCGCACATGCACCATACACAGACACATGCGTGCACACACACACACATACACCCACACCACTCACACTTACACCCACACACGCACGCACAGACTGCGCAAGATTCTGATTTGCAGAAGCGAGCGAGGCAGAGTCGGAGAGAGAAGAGAGCAGACATGACAGACAGATGCACGAGATGGAGCGAGAGACAACTTTCTTAGCCCGCCCACACTCTTCTTCAAGAAATTATGGTAGTTAGTTATCAGTCGGGTTAGTAAATCCCGCCGCGAAGGCCCAGGCATGAAACCCGGCGCGTGAAGGCCCAAAGCCATAAACCCATATTCCACAAGTACTGGATTCTTGTTCAGGAATTTAGTTTAAGCTACCATGTCAGGGATCTATGGTAAATAGTTTGGCTTCCTTATTACGGTAACTCAAGTTAAGTCCCTGAACATCCGAGCCTTGCTTGGAGGTTAGTTAGGGTAGTTCTAAGTGGGAGAATATGAGTCCCCTAATGCGGGCTAAGAACCCAGGGTAAGCCCTAAACCCTAAACCCTAAGCCCTAAACCCTAAACTCTAATGGGCCCTAATGTGGGCTAAGAGCCCAGAGTGAGCCTTGCTTCGCAGGGAGAGTACTTGGAGGATCATGGGACTTAGTAAGTAAGCTTATAAGTACCTTAATTACCTTAATTGGGGATATAAGGGGTTATAAGTATAGTTACCCTAACTATAACCCTAGTTATTAAGTCCCATGATCCTTTAAGTAAGCCGTTGCTTCGCAGGGAGTATGGCGCTGGGGTCCGCGCCCAATTCTTCAACTCCAGGGGACCTGGTGGCCTTCAGGCCAGGGTTTAGGGGTTTTCCAGGGTTTCTGTTTTATTTTTAGGGTTTCTGGGTTTTTTGTTAGGGTTTCTGGGGTTCTTGAGGGTTTATAGGGTTTATAGGGTTTATAGGGTTTATAGGGTTTATGGGGTTTATGGGGTTTAGGGGGTTTAGGGGTTTAGGGTTTATATTAAAGGCCCAATGCCCAAATGCTCAAGGCCTCATGCTAGGTTCCAAAGCCCAACCCGTGGTGTGTTCAGGTTTAATGTTTAGTACGGGTTGATGCTTTGGGGCTGTGGGTGTGGGGTTTTGCATTTATGGTTTTAGGATGTCTCAGGCCGAGGACGGTCTCTGTGCGGGTGGCTGCTGGTCGGGGCTTGCAGGATTTTGGCATGTCGTCCAGGGAGCAGGGTGCAGAGGGTTGCAGTAATCATAGCGCACATGGACTAAAACTAGGGAACACTTGTAGACGCAGCTCAACTGTTTGTGCATCGTGGCATACAGTCGGGGCGAACAAGTTGCAACACATAACATACTGAAAGAAATCTAGAAGGGACAGAGCTATGCTACGTAAATCCATGGTTTAGCCAGTAGTAGGTAATGCAATGTATGGAGAAACGTGCCTACAATGGTAGGCAAAGCAGCGAACCAGTGTTGTCACTGGTGGCACAGGTTAGGCAGTGGTGCTGAGCATACTGCTTAGACGAGAACACCGCCATCATGATGAGCAAGAACAGAGAGTTCCACGCGTCGTAGATACCAGGACATCCCTTTGCATCGGAAAACATCATTTGCTCACATCCTAAAGTCAAGAAGGGCACTAGATGCTCTCATGTTGCGAAGCCTCAACCGGAACTGCGACATTTCTGTAAGCAAGAGTGAAATGCAACCCATAGGGAACCTCCAGATTCCACACAAGCCCTAAACCCCAAACCCTAAACCTTAATGCATCTACAAAATAACCTTAAACCCTCAATCTTACACCCTCAACCTTAAACCGTAAAGCTCAAGGGGCAAAGCTCGGAAGGGAGAAACGTGCGCGCGGCCGTGCAACGAGCAGCACATCAGCTGCACATGGGAGTTTCCGAACATAGGGGACCCTAATCGCAGTACCCTAGATAGTAGGATCCTTATTATAAGGACGTCAAAAATAAGGAGCCCCTAATTTTCCGGAAACTCCCACATGTGCTGTGAACAGCCGGAGGAGCACAGGTTATTGGGAATTTTGTTAAGCACTCATATCTAGGTAGCCGTGGTAGTCATACTGAATTACCCGTGCATCCGCATCGTCGTACACGCGACATTCTATCTATCGAAGCAGTTAGAGTAAGGTTAACAGGCATGGTATGAGTAGCTGTAGTTGCAGTATGAGACCGCTGCTCAGCATCTCTTCAGTAGTCATGCCAGCAGTATCATGAAAAAACGTTCGCAGAAAAAGCGCCAAACCCCACAAGCCTAAACTCTAATCCTTACGTCTCGGAGTGCAGACTGAAAAAGGGCCCTAAAAAAAACACCTTACGTCTCGAGAGTGGCAGCCGCAATACTGCTCGTGCCAGGATGAGGATCGGAGCCGAGATTGGTACTGCAAGGGCTGCCCACACCTTGGATCAAGAGTTGGAGTGTCCCCTAGTAGTAGAGTGGCCTTTATGGGGTACTCTAACCCTTATATAATCCCAAGTAGGGGCAGTTGTTCTGCGTCAAGGCTGTTTGTGGTCATTCGGGAAGATCTACCAGGATCACTATTCCAACCCCGCTATATACATTAATTAGTCATTAGTGTCTTCGCTTGATGGTTTACGTGCCTTCTGACCTGCATATGTCTGACCGTCTGTTGTGCCTCCGCGTGAGGAATTAGCAGTGCGGGCCCTTGTGCATCTACGCTTTCTTAGCATTCTCGCTCTCTCTCGCTGTGTCCGAGTTTCTCTGTCTCTCTCTCTCTCTCTCTTTGTCAGCGGGAGGGGGGGTGGGGCAGAATTAAACGGCCTCCAACGAGACCCCATACTTCCTCGAAACCTCCGATTTCAGTAAGTCCTGAGTTCTAACTCCACGGTTGCAAATGACTGGCCCAGGCGGCGAGCGAAACTTCATGAAGCGCTTCGAGTGCTTCAAGTGTGCCACTCCCCAGACGTTTGAGTCAGCAATGTCCAGAACAGTAGTCGATCGCGCCTGTTGAGCCACGCAACTCTGTCCCTACATGTTTACCATCATGTTCAGAGCCCTAAACCCTAAACCCGAAACTAAACCCTAAATCCTAAACCCTAAACCCTGATCCTGAAGTATGCTTTAGCAGCCTCTGGAGTCCGCGGCCCTCATCACAAAGCATCATCCGGACCCTGACGCATGTCTTCTGTCGGTTTTTGTATGGGCCCTACATGGTCCTCTGAAGGGGCCTTTAAGGGCTCTATATGGGAGTTTCCGAAAATAGGGGACCCTAATATAGTACCATAAATAGTAGGATCCTTATTTTAAGGACCCCCACTTTTTCCACCCCCAATTTTTGGAAACTCCCATGTAAAGCTTCTATAGGGGTTCTATGAGGATTCTATGAGGGGCGCAGAAGGGCGCTAACCCGGGAGCCGCCCCAAGGGGTGCAGAGGGCCCAGGTTCACGTAGGGGCCTTAACAATAACCATTCGTGTTCCTTAAAAGGATTCCTTACAGGGGTCTATAAGGGATCTATAGTAGGATTCTAGAAGACAGGGGCCTGAATAATCGCGGTGGCTTATTATAAGTGTAGTATATAATGGGCCCCAAAATCTATTCTAATAGGGTGTGAAGCTTAGGGCTTAGGGTTGAGGGTAAGGGTTGGGGTTGAGTACTTAGGGTTCCGAAATGCCTAAATCTCAAGGTATGGTTTAGGGTTCCCAAACTCCCAACCCTGAATTGCCAAATATACGCAAGGTTGAGACTCCAGGCAATCTGCAGTTTGGGGTCTCCTTTGCTATCTGTTTCTCTCACATGCCAAAGCTAAACCCCAAAACCTCCAAGCCGCTAAAGACGCTACACGCTAGAACCACTAAACCCCCAAGCCCTAAAACCCTAAAACCCTTAAAGCCCTAAACCCCTCATCCCTAAACCCCTCAACCTCTAAACCCCCTAAGCCCCCCAAACCCCTCATCCCTAAACCCCTCATCCTTAAACCCCTTAACCTCTAAACCCCCTAAACCCCCCAAGCCCCCCAAACCCCAAAAGGCAAAGCGCCGAAGCCGCCGGAAGCTCCCGGCGATCAGCCCGTTGCACCTCCGGGCTGCCGCCTCAGGGGAGTCAGGGATACCCAGAGACTCCAGTATCCCTTGATTAAGGAATATACCATATACTGTATACCTTAAGTCATGTTAGGGATCTTCCCATATTTTAAGGTATATTCCTTAATTGAGGGATATTGGACTCTGAGGGGCACCCAAAGGGCTTCTATAAGGTTACAAGGTCTACTATAAGGGTCACGATAAGGTTTACTATAACGGTTACTAGAAGGGTTAGTCTAAGGTTTACACCGTTTCTAAAATGTTAAAAGGCTTACTATAAGGGTTAGTATCAGGTTGAGGGTTTAGGGGATAAGGTTTACTACAATGGGTTACTGCTCGGGTTATTATAAGGTTCACTCTGTTGGTCCCGAAGAAGGGTCACCCAAAATAGTTTTGGTACTTATTACTACATCAAATCCGAGACCTTTGCCGAAAAGCTTTCTGCGAAACTAAAGCTCCTTGAGCTAGACAGAACCAGACTCCCGGCACGACTCCGTCAATGCCTGCATAACAACTCTACTCGAACACTTAGGGTTTCGGGTCTAGGGTGTACCTAAACCCTAAGCCCTGAACCGTAAGCCCCGAATCCCCGCAACCACTCAACCCTTTAGAACACTCATAAAAACCCACTATAGCAAACGTTATCGTGGGCTCCTCGTAATAGTTATAGTATAACATGCGCCCGGACCCTTGTTTCATTATTAATTCCCCTGTAGTAGGGCGTCGGCTCGGCTAGGAATCGTGTGTTGGGATTATCTCTTAAAGCCCTCAACCCTAAACCCTTGCCTAAATTAAAACGTAGCTCCTACGGGTTGTTTAACGCAGCGACAACCTCGAAAGGGATTTGATGCAGAAACTTTGAAAAGGTCCCCGACGGCCTTGACACGAAGGCTTTCCCTTTGATGTAGACCTCTGAGTAGTACGTAAGCCCATCCTTACTGAGTGTTACAAAAGCCATCTTCATATAAGTAACCCTAAACTCTCAGACCCTCTCAAGTTGAAGTGCGCCTCATGGAATCTTTTTGCCGGATTTAGGTTTCAGAGCCCAGAAGCCTCGGGCTTCAACCCTAAGGGTCCAAGTACCCAAATAGTAGGGTTTCAAGGTCCAAAAACCATTCAGAGTATGGATTTTTGGGCCCAAATTCCTACTATTTGGGTACTTGGACCCTCTGGGAAAGTCCCCAAGCCCAACTCAATTGGAAACCGAAACCCTTACCGCTCTGCAAACTCCCCTCCGACAACTTCCCGAAGTGATCTACAGACCCCATACCCCTTCGCAGGACGAGTTTGGTGCCTGTCACCCTTCAAACACCCGCAAACCCCAACACTCACAGACCGATTCTGGAGCCCTTGTTCAAAAGCCCTGCATAATCTTCCGAACTTCCTCTATAGAGAGACCTTTTAAATCCATTGCAAAAGCTCAGAAGCCCTAGGAGCCCCTCGCACAAGCCCTATAAAGCGAACCCCAGAAACAAGCTTTCCTTTAAGGGCACTAGGATATTGATGTTCCGACTTCATGGTGTCTACTTAAAGCACCTCATAAACCCTCATCGAAACCTCTTGAACACCTTTTATCAGCCCGTAGGAAGACGTGTTGACAACCGCCTACACACCATCCAACGAAAGCCCTCAGTCCCGACGCCTCCGCCGAAGCGGACGCTTTCGCCCCACGCCGGGTCCAGAGCGATGCGCGAGATGTGCTCCCAAACCCTAAACCCCAAACCCTAAGCCCTAAACCTGGTGCGGGGGCCTGTAAGGTCTAGGGCTTTCAGGATCAAGGGCCCCAGGCTTCCCAGCGGGCGTAGCGTTTAAGTGGGTGGTTGTCAAAATTAGGGTCCTTTTTTGGGTCCTTATTATACTACGGCACCTATTATTTACGGTACCCCAAAAGGGACCATAATTTTGACAACCACCCAAGTAGGGGCTTTCGGATTCAACATCTGGGCTGACTGGGCTGACTGTAGAGGATGTGAGGATCCTTGGCATGGCTGTGAGGGCTGAAGTTTTTCAGGTTGGAGCTGTCGCAATTTTCTGTGGAGCAGCACCCTCAACTCCAATCACACATTATATCTTGAGCATATTGTTTTATTCTTTATTCGTGTTCATCTGTATGTATATATATATATATATGTACACACACACATGCGCATACAGTCTTTCGCACCGAAAATGCGTGAATTCAAGCCCCTGCACCCCCAAACCCTGCCAATCAGAACACCCGCTACAACTCTGTAAAGAGTCTGACACAAACCCAATTGCAACACCAAGAAAGCATAGAAGGCCCCTGTATAACAGCTTCCTAAAGTCACACAAGCTCTTTCGAACTTAAACCCCGAACCCTCAACCCTTTCAAAACTCTAGGCCCCAAATCCCTTTGGCAATCCTCGTAGAACCCTGATAGACACCCTTATGGTACCTCTTACTTGGAGGTTCATGGGTAGTCATAAGTGGCGTAACTATAGCCCACATTGGGGACTTATAACTCCACTTATAACGACCAATGAACCTCTAAGTAGACCCTAACCCCTGTACCCTTATAGAGTCCCCTACAGAGCCCTTTAAGGGGACCCTTAAAGGAGCCCTTTTTTTGCGACCCATGAGCCTGAAAGCAAAGGAACCCAAAAAGCAGGTACAAGCAGGGCCTGCTTGGGCCGGGTGCCGCTGCCGCCGCCGCAGCTGCGCCGGCGAAGAGCCCCTCAAAAAGCCGGGGGCCCGTCGATTAGTATTCGTGTCGGTGTTGTTGTTGTTGTGGTTGCTAGTCATTGTTGTTATTGTTAGTGTTCCTTCTAGAAGTTCATCGTATACCTCCAAATCCTGCTCTTGTACATGGCTCAACCCCTAGCCCAAAAACCATAAACCCTAAAGCAAACCCTAAAGCCTTTCTCCCTGAAGCTCTAAACCCTAAGCCGCAAATCCTAAGTCCTACATAAAGCCCTAGACCCTCAACCTTGACACCCTGAATCCTGTAGAACCCCAGTAGTAACCCTTTTCGCAACCCTTATAGTAACCTTTTGTGTAAACGGTGGAACAACCCTTGTAATAAACATTATACTATATAACCCGAAGAGTCAACCTCAAAATGACCGTGGCGGTAGTTCGCAAACCTTATAGAGACCCTTAAAGTACCCCGTAAATTCGCAATACTCACAAGAAGAATTGACCAAGGAATAGTATTGGTAATCTTTGGACCTCTACAGATTGAAGTGTGAGAGTTTCAGTAGTTGCAGGTTCGAAGTTTTGAAAGGCGCTGCATGTCGACAGTTAGGGCAACTTGGGATGAGCAAGCGAGCGGGCCTCAAAGTTCGAACTTTGCAGTTCACTTTTTCAAAACTCAAGCTTTCGACCGCGGTCGTGTTCGATCGGTTCTCAAAGTTCGAGATACTGATTAGTTGAAATTTGTAAGTTCGAAGCTTTGACAGGTTCGGACGTCTCTGCTGCTGCCGCTTTCACTGCTGCTAGCAGCATTCTGTCCACTAGCTAAACACTTCTTCTCATTCTCCTACTACAAGGGCCTCAATTCTTGCCCAATACATTCTAATTATTAAGGCCTTTATATTACACAACCCTCTAAACAATCTTTTGAACCTTGAACCCTAAACCCCAAAGCCCTAAATCCCCAAACCCCTAAACCCTAAACCCCTAAGCCCTAAACCCCTCAACCCCAAAGCCCCAAAAATCCCTAAACCCCCGAACCCCAGACCTCCTGGCCCTAATGTAGAAGCCTAAATAATTACCAATATTATGGTTGGGATTCCTTATTATACTATAGTATAAAGGGCCCCAAAACCCTATTCTAATTAAGGCCCCTATATTATATGACTGGCTCGGCATGCCCGGTGGGAGCTCCGAGGCCGGAGCAAGAGGAGCCCATCCAGGCGGACCCGTCCGAGCGAGTGCAGAGTCTTCCCCTTGGTTTTCTCTGAAGTCTCAGTTGGTTTAGGGTTTTGGGGGTTTAGGGTTTAGGGGCACCCTTTAGTTGGTTTAGGGCTTTAGGGTTTGAGGGTTTAGGTTTAGCCTCTACCCTATAATGGTCTTAATGTCAGCGCATCTCAAGCTCCGCAGGCCGCAGACTGCTGGTGAAATCGGAGCCCTGGAGCTTCCTCGGGTTTCCGGCTAGCGTAAGTGGAGGCAACATGCAGGATAACTTACACTGTAGGATTTCAGTCAGTGTAGGTGAAGTCAGGAGGGTTTCTGGTGGGTCCTGCCCAATGAGCCATCCAGCTTCAGCACTGGAGCCTAATCCAAAGTCCGACGTATGAAACCCTGACCCTTCAAGTCCAAACGAAACTCAACCTGCACTTCCGGACTGATCGGGCTTACTGTGTGTATAGGGCTTATCTAGCTTGCAGTTGATTTCAAGCAGTTCTGGGGCTTAGAGCTGTCGAGGCCCTCAACCCCTGGGTCTTGGCTACCGGCAAGGGGTTCGAGGGCAGCCAGGGGTTAAGGGTTTAGGGTCGGTCATGGAGGTCTCTCTTGCTTTGGTAGCATTATTCTTGTGAGTCAGGCATCGCTGCCTCGTGGAGCGTTTTGGGGTTGGAGCACCGGAATCCTAAAGTCATGTTGGAAGGGTCGAGCCGTTAAGGCCAAACCTTGTAAGCTGGACTGCGGCTCCAAGTCGCTCTACAGTATCCTACTGACGTTGAGCTGAGACCCAGCACGACGAAGACGAAGAGGAGGAGGAGGAGGAGGAGGAGGAGGACGACTCCAACGACGTTTGGCGAATTGACCTACCCTAAGCCCTTTTATAGATCCCTTTATAGAAGCCATATAGATCCCTTTTAAAGGAGCCCTGAAACCCTTATAGATCCCTTTCAAAGGAGCCCTGAAAGTTCTCAGATTCGTGAAAAATGCCTCGCAGTAGCTCCTCCAGCAGCAGCCGGCAGAAGAAACGGTCCGGCCCCCGCAGTGCTTGAGCATCCGAGAGTTTGGCTTGTTATGCTTTAGGGGTTTATGGTTTAGTGTTTAGGGTCTTGGAGGGTTTGGGGGCTACGTACAGGATCATGGGACTTAATAACTATAGGGTTATAATTAGGGTAGTTATAACTACCTATAACCCCAATTAAGGTACTTATAAGCTTACTTACTAAGTCCCATGATCCTCCAAGTAGGGTTTAGTCAAAGACTTTAAGTTTGCACCCTAAACGTTTGTAACCCTAGGTTTGGGGTCCCGAATACCCCTATTAAGGGGTATATTCCATGGTTTAGGGGCCCAAACCCAAGGGTACAAACCCTAAGGGTACAAAGGAAAACTCCTTGATTTAGGTTTCAGGGTCGTGGCGGCCGGTTTCGGGGCTCAGGGTTTAGGAGATTGGGAGTTGAGGGTTTACTAGGATTCCCAGTAGTAGTACCCTTTAAAGGGATCCATAAGGGCTCCAGAAAAGGATCTATAAGGGTTCTATAAAGGGTTTAGGGTTTCCGAAAATTAGGGGCTGGGATTCTCAGTAGTAGTACCCTTATTCCCTTTTTGTAGTCCTCGGTTCCTGATAAAGTTACCCAATACCAAAAAGGGAGCCCTTTTTATTCCTAGGTTACTGGGCATCCTATTTTGAGACATTAAGGGGGATTAGGGTTCCTTTTAAAGGGATCTGTAAGGGTTCTATAAGGGGATTTATAAGAGAGGGCTTCGGGTTAGGGTTTAGGATTTAGCGGTTTGTGGGTTCGGGGGTTTGGGGGTTTTGGGGTTTTGGGGTTTAGGGTTTCGGGTTTGGTGTTCAAGGGTTTAGGGATCCGCAGCTGTCGACCAAGCTGATTTTGGGGGTGTGCGGGTCGTGATCCGGCATGGGAGTTGAGGATCGGCTCTACATCGTATCTGTTGCGTCTAGTCGCCGCTCAGCCCTAAACCCTGACCCTAACCCTAAACCCACCCCTTAACCTCTAAACTTTAGACCTATTTCTGTAAAGCACAGGCTCAGTGGACTCCTGAGCGCTCATAGGAGTCATGAATGAAAATCGTTTAACATCATAGGCATCGTGGGCCGGGCGACGACGACGTCTTCATCGTCGTAGTCGAGCCGTAGTCGTAGTCCCAGTCGAAGTCCTAGCCGTAGTCGTTGTGGTAGTATTCGTCGTCGTTGTCGCAATCGCAGATGCAGTCGCAGTGGCCGCCGTAGTGGTTGCAGTCGGCGTCGTCATGGTAGTAGTCGTGGCAGCAGTAGCAGTAGTAGCAGTCGTCGTCGGCGTCGCAGTAATTGGAAAAGTAGAGGGCTCTAGAACTCTGTAAGGCCGGCGGTGCTAGATTTCGGTGCGGTATTCGTGATTATTTTGTGGTGTCGACGACCATCATGCTTGAGTCTCAAGGCTTGAAGCCCCCAAGGGCTCTAAAGCTTCCTCGACTTCCACTGAACACCAGAAGCAAAGAAGTAAGTTCAGGAGTACAGTCCCCGAGCCCCAGACATCCCCAGACCCTAAAGTGCAACTCCCAAACTCTCAACCCTGAACCTCAAACCCTACGGGTGTAGCCGACATTAGGGCACTTATGAACCCTACGTATAGCTATACATGAACCCAGAGAGCCCACTCAAACCCTGATCGTCACAACCATGACTCAGACGTTCGCCATAGTGGCCTTCACTCGTTTGGTACCCTGGAAGCTCTACCCACTCGTGAAGCCGAAGAAGAAGAGCATTGGGTTTATTCAGGTGGGTTCTAAATGGTTAATTAATCCTGTCGGAATGAGGACATCCCCAGCTATCATGCCTATATCACACCATGTCTCCTTGCAGTAGGGCTAAGGGCCCTGGAGCCTCTAAAGCTCGGTCCCTGCATGTGATTTTCTTTTGGATGCGGCTGCGGCGCGATTGGATGCGGCTCGACTTACCGAAGCTGGTGAGGTTCGTCGCGGCACTGGCTTGCTGCAGGGCTCGATGTTTACTCAAAAACTGAATGCTTGGATTTAGGGTTATTAGGGTTTATGCATCTGTATAAGACAGTAGTTGTACCAGGCGAGAATGTAAGTAGGATCAAAAGGCAGCTAACTCAAAGTTCACAAGTGTTCCAGTCACAGCTGTTGGGCCCGTCTTGGACACAGGAGCCCAGCAACCAGTCACTTCCTCTCTGTATTTTCTCTTTCAGCGGGTTAGGGCCTCAACAAGCCCGAAACTCTGTTCAAATCACTGCTATGGGGCCTGAATAATTACCAATACTATCTTGTGGGATTCCTCATTTTTCCCATAGTATAATATACCCCTAAACCCGATTCAAATTATGTTGGCTTGGATTCCTATAGTATAATATGCTCCTAAACCTGACTTCTAATTAAGGCCCTTATGTCCGCTTTGGAGCCTTAAGCCTTATTATTCCTATAGTATAATATGCCCCTAAACCCGACTTCTAATTAAGGCCCTCATGTCCGCTTTGGAGCCTTAAGCCTTTTTATTCCTATAGTATAATGTGCCCCTAAACCCGACTCTAAGCTAGCTTGGGAGCCTTTAGCCTTCTGCGGTCAGCGCTGTAGTGCCTTGGGTCTCCGGCCAAGCGAGGAGAAGGGAGAGGCCCCCACGTAGCAAAGAGGTGAAGCTGGAACACCCCCTGAAGGATTAATTACCCAGAGAGCCCAATACCCCTTAATTAAGGAATATAGCTTAAATCATAATATGAAGCCCTATATAATTTAAGCCATATTCCTTAATTTGAAACGCTGCGCGTCGTCCGCCTCGGCCCGGCTGTACGCGCATGCGGCGAGTGGCTACTATCTGCAGCAAGCTCTTGTAGGAAAAAAGTAACAGTTGGAATCGCACTTATAGTAAAAGTAATGTTCATAGCAACACGAAGCAGGATGATTGTGAGTAGTATTAGTGGTGGTAGTATCAGTACGAATTTTGGTGTCGTCATTCCGAAACACTGGATACCAAGACTCTCGCAAGCGGCGAGGGGAAGCGGGGAAAATTGGGTGGGACTGCCCACAGAAGCCAAAATCCGTTGGAGGGGGCGAGAATTCACCGCCGTACCTTGGAGCTCAGTGACACTTTTCCATTTTTAAGGGGGGGGGGGGCAGTGGCCCCGATTTTTGGTGTGGAGTCACTGGGGAGGGGATTAGGTGGGGAATAGAGGGAATCCGAATAGGAACCTCTGACCGCTTCGGCCGGGGCCGAGGCGAATTTCTATTATAGAAACCTTCTTTGTACTATGTAGGTACTTGGAAACCTTTGGGAAACCCTCAGTCCTAAACCGTTTTGCAGCTTGAAACCTTGAGGAGTTTGGAGGTTCACAAGTTGCTGCAGGGGTGGGCATGGCGGATTCTCGCCAAACAGAGGCTTAGTTCCCAGCTGCAGTTTACAAGGAAGCCTGCGCAATGATCCACGATGAAAACTCAGTAGTGTCGTGAACTGAAAACCGGATGCCCTATGTAGACCTTCAACCCCGATGCCAAGAACCAAATCCTCGGCCCTGAACCTGGAAGTACAGGCGAATGTCAGTGCTGCTGACAAAGAGCAAGTCACCGCGCTTGACTGCAGCTTAAAAAGAATGGTTGCTTAGACTCGGCCTGCTGCCTACACTAACAAGTTAGTTTGAAAGATTGGGGTTTTCTTGCTTTAGGGGTCTTGAAGCTTTTGTTTCCTGCTTTCGGGTCCAGGTATTGTCCGGGCTTTGCAAATTCTCCAGGCTGGGGTTTAGGGGCCCCAACAAGTAAAGATGCTACATTACAGTCCCCTGTCGTCGGAAACTCTCACAGTGTTGCAAGCCTTGGCGCCCTTTGGCCCAAACGCCCGACTGCAGGGAGTGAGCATAAAGAATGGGGGAAGGGAAAAGGGCCACGGCAGGGAGTGAGCATAATGAATCGGGAAAGCGGTGGGAAGAGGAAACAGGGAGAGGTGAAGGGGTGGGGGGGGGTGCGGAAGGGGGGGGGGGGGGGCGGGAAGGGGGGGGGGACTTTTTTGGGGGGGTCACTGGGGGAGGGGATTAGGTGGGAATAGAGGGAATCCGAATAGGAACCTCTGACCGCTTCGGCCGGGGCCGAGGCGAATTAAGGGGTATTGGGCTTTCTGGGTATTGAAGTTTCCGCACCATAGTTAGACCGCTTCATCCTGGACAAACCCTGTCTCGCAATGACAAAACTACATGCAACAACCTCAGCTGGTCCCGAAGTTTTTTGGTCCGTGAATGAGGCGGCTGTTTGCCTCCCCTCTCGTGCTGCTACTTTCCGTCTGCGGCCTGGAGATTGAGGCCGCTCGTTGGGAAGTCACGTTTCATTTCCTTTTACCTAGCGCTGCAAGTAGTTTGCATTACAGATGCAAAGCATGCAGTTCTTGCTGATCCGATTGTTGTTATCCTTGTTGCTAGTTTGCTACTCTTCCGACCTTCCCGATTTATGAGGGGTTTGCTTAGGCCCATCAGCGGGTCGTGGCAAGAAGGCTTGAGCAATCCTCGGGATCTGGATTCTGCAAGATATGCCACGGTTCTGGTAGCTGTTGAAGACATTCTGAACTCTCCATTAGGAACCCCACCCTAACTCGAACTCGAACTCGAACTGTTCCACTTCCACTTCGAGTTCGAGTTCCACACACCCCACCCACCCTCCCATTCCCTTCGGCCTTGGCCCTTCGAACTCGAACTCCTCGCCCCCCCCCCCCCCCCCCCCGGCTGCGCTCGCCCGGTCGGTGGTCGAACTCGAACTCGAACTGGAACTCGAACTCGAACTCGACCCCCCCCCCCCCGCCGAAAATACCACGTCGAACTCAAACTCGAACTCGAACTGGAACTCGAACTCGCTGGGGCCCGCTGCTACGACTGCAACTACTAGTACCAGTCCTACTACTGTTACTACTACTACTACTACTACTACTACTACTACTACTACTACTACTACTACTACTACTACTACTACTAATACTACTACTACTTCGAACTCGAACTCGAACTCGAACTCTGAACTCGAACTCGAACTCCTCGCCC